AGGAGAGAAAGAATTGGAGACCGTTTGAAGTGGGAGACGAAGTGAAGTGTAGAGAACGGAAATATACCACAGGAAGTGGGCCAGGGTCCGGTAAGCTGATCCCGAAGTGGTGGGGACCGTACGTCGTCACCGAGAGACGCGGCGCAGTGTATACGATCCAGAAAGGAAACAAACAGAAACGCGTGAATGCCAGTGAACTCGAAAGTTGGTTCCAGGTGCGCCAAGAGGGCGAGCCACAAACACTGATAAAGAAGACGGCTGTACGGAGATCAGAAAGGCTGCTACTTATACGAACGATATAAGTAGTATAAGAAGGAACGTGAAAGAAGTCTCACGGTCATAAGAGGAAAACGGAAAGCAAATGGAGCAAAAGCAAGAAGTAATTGGAGTACCAACAGGAAGTAAAGGAAGCAACAGCAGGAATGGAAGAAGGATGGAGCGTTGGAAGTCATGACTCAAAGATGGTGTGCAAATAGAGTGTTCAATGTAATGTTTTCGTTTTTAATTGACTGAGTGTAAAGTTTATAATAATCATTTTATATTATTTCATGTAAGAGTGTTTTAAAGTTTGACTAACTTGATTTTAAGAAATCGAAACCAATATGATAAACTAGCATCATATTGAAAACTCCTAAAAACGTGTTTATTTCCTATTCATTGGTTAAATCTTCTAATTACTATGAGTTATATCGCTTTCCACGTGTTAGTTTGGCGCTTAGCTGATCAGAAACAGCCACATGAGAAAGTCTTACCTGATGTCAATCAACGACGTCCTAGCCAACATATTCATATCATTAGCCAAGAAATGAATATATATATATATATATATATATATATATATATATATATATATATATATATATATATATATATATATATATATATATATATATAGATATATATACGTTTAGTAGCTAAATAAACTTTGATTTCCACAATTTTCTTCTCGTTTCAATAATCCATTTTCATCACAATATACATGCAAAAATAAATTTCAAATATTATCAATCCAAAATATGATTTTTCATTGTTTTCATTGTTAGCTACTTCACTGAGATACTACTTAATAAAAAAAAGTAATCAGTAGCTAAACTGATTTCTCCCCTTTTTATACAATATTGAAGAATTCTTCACTTCTAACTGCACACTTCACTAATGACATGGTCTTGACACCACACTTGCAACAATAACAATACGATCAGATTAATAATCAGAGTTGATCAATGGAAAATTTGTTATGTATTCTCATCGTGAAACAATTTGAAGAAAAAATAACTTTTCCCTATGATACACAAACATGATAAGTGAATTCGATTTATGAAGTGTTATTATCATATTTGTGTAACAACAATGGTTGTTATGATTTCACACATCATTTTTAACGAAATCGCTAAACCGTTATATGTGTACTAACTGTACATTAAATTCTATTGACAGAATTCTTTTGAAATTCATCAGTCTTTAGGTTAATGAAAAGTATGATAAAATAAAAGCATTTTAATTTACCAATCTCAATTTTCGGTTTTTCAATATTCAATGTGATCGAACGTTTTAAACTTTCAATTGAAACATTTACTTCATAGTTAATAACATCTATTCAATGTTTTCGATAATGAGAGATTCATAATATATACCATAATGCATAGTTTCGAATACAAACACAAATATTATTCAATTACGTTTGATTTGATTGCTCGTGAATTTGAACCATCACAAATCAGTTCAACAGCTTATGGCTTTGTATACCATCGATTGATATATATATATATATATATATATATATATATATATATATTACTATTTTAAGTATATTTCAATGCCGATAAACTAAATTACCGTTTAGTTGTACTATCTTTATATGGTGTATAATGTTTTTATCAACTTATAAAAATTGATCAGTTTATAGAAATTGTTTTAATGTTAAGATTGGTGAGATCACATGATCATTGTTGAACTGACGCTGAAACTTTTATGAATCCATTAAAAATATATATATATATCTTTTTCTTTACATGTTTTGTTTGAACATAAATTGTGTAAATAATCACAGTTTATTTAATGTAGAAAACAAAGTGGAATGTTTAGTTTTTAATTTAAAATAAGCTTGCACATGATCGCGCCTATTCAAGATTGTATATGATCAATGCCTTCTAATTTCTCTTTGTATGATAGTTTTTGCATATACACGATTTTAATTCCAATAATAAATATTGTTAGGATCTGATTTTTCAACCAATCAATCATGATTGTTATGGTAAGTCAACGTTGAAACTGATTTTTGTCTGATTTTGTTCTTGCTGACAATATGTTCTTGTTGATAGTGGTCTGGCCAATGGATTTGAAGTATTTTGTATAGAGAATTGTTAATAAACACTTGAATCTTCTGAATGATGGTCACCTTGGTTCTCCAAGAATCCGCCCCCCGTACAGTAAGTAGAATTGTGTTGACATTTTTATGGAAAATTCTGACTTCGGTGTTGGTTGATAGTTGTTTTGAGTTTCGTATATTCTTCAGTTGTAGAAATGCATACATGTTTTGATTATTTTCAAAGTATAAGTCCCATACCAGGACGAAACGGCCGTCTAGTGCTTCCAGGTTTCTAATGGTGGTCTAACATTGATGGATTCATGGTTACAAATAAAGGTTAAAAAGTCAAGCCTTCATGTCAGTCAGTTGCAACGTAGAACTTCGTACGTATGTACATAAGTTCATGTTGCCATACCACATTAACACAGAGACGCAAATGTCAAATCAAATCCCATAGTGATAAAGATAGTAGAGGTATTAGTGTTAATAAAGAAGACTAGGGTTCGAAGATATTATTCAAGAAATATAATTCAGTGAGATAAGGTTAGAAAGACAAAGGTATAGGTGCTGACGAATCCAGAAGATTAGGATTTGAGAGAGCTCAAAGAGTGGATGCACCTGCGCCATTGCAAACGATTTTGAGCCATGTCGTTCAAGGTCTCTAACCATTGATGACTTTCGTCTCGTGGACCTCAACCAGGTAGTCTACATCTACCAACATGACTCAGTCCACTTGTCAGTGACTTCATGTTTTGTATATAAACAAATCATTTTGCTAAAAGAAAATTTTCATTAACTAATTACGATAGTTTTTTTCAATTCTCACACGTTCCTAACCTGTCATTGAGGATCGATCAATCTATCTAAGTAGATTCCTACTCTACAAGTACAAGCATTAACACAGAGATTTGCATATTATTCCCAGCTAAATAATGTCAGTCACTTCCACACAACAACAACTTCAGAAGTGTCAATTAACACATCATATACTGATTTATGGTAGCTAAACAAAACACTGAATAATAAGATTGTTGTTTAATTTTAAGCCAAAATTATTAAGTGCAATTTGATAAATTCAGTTGAAATAAGATAACATTAAATGAATATATAAATTGCATTCTCTATCGATTGATGAATTCACCTCTACAAGCACTAAGATCAAAGGAGAACATTTCATAAAACTAAAAGTACACGAAAGTTGAAGGTCAACAATAACATATTTGATAAAAATCTTTTTATACTTAACTGGAAATCAATGCAAGAAGAAAAATCGATAAAACTATTAACCAAAAAAGTCGACCTCTAAAGAAGTATAAAGAAGTCGGTAGTTGTCGACTACCAGGTTGGGGTCCGCGAGATCATAATAATCGATGGTTAGAGACCCTGAATGACATGGCTCAAAACCGTTTGCAATGGCGCCGGTGCATTTATTCTTTGTGTTCTCTCAAATCCTAATCTTCTGGATCCTTCAACACCTCTAGTTTTGACTTTCTAAGCTTGACTCACTGAATCATACTTCTTGAATAATATCTTGTAATCCTAACCTCTCCGATTACTTCTGATACCTTTACTACTTCTTCTACTATTGGATTTGAATTGAAAATTACATCTGTGTGTGCTGATATGGTATGGCAACATGAACTGATGTACTTACGTACGAAGTTCTACGTTGCATCTGACTCACTGACTGATTTCTAAATCTTCCTCCCAAACATCACTGATGGTTGTTATACTGATTACATCATTCATTGTTGAATGTGTGAACAGTTGAAAAGTATGCAACACAATGTATCATTGTGAGTTTATTAACAATAAATCCGATTGCATTACTCACTATAAGTGAAGTTGCACGAAATTCATAGATTCAGCAGAGCTATAAGGCATTAACACTGTTGGATGCCAGCTCAGTGATCCAGAGATTAGGGCGTTTGTGAGCAAGACCGAAAGTCCTGTGCTCAAATTCTGATAGTAACAGAAGTCACGAATACGCACTGACACTGATGAGTCCCATGACTGGACGAAACGGCCGTCCACAGCTTTCAGGTTCCTGATGGTAGTCAAATGATGAATGTACTTACTTTTAACAAATTCGATTGTGAGATAGTAGAGAAAATTTGTAGCTCAGGTGGATGATTGTGGTGGTGTTTCGTTCTCTGAACTGGATGTTTTGTTGTGGAGATTTCATTATTCTTCTGAACAACATCATCAGCACAAAATTCGATCTGAAGTTTTAGTTGTTCAGAAGAACAATGAAAGCTCCACAACCACCAAAACATCCAGCTCAGAGAACGAAACACCACCACAAATTCAATTGTTTTCTAAAAAGAAATTTTGATTTTACCAAATGAAATTTTTCCAAAAATAAGTATTTATCGGTTCAAATATCAGTCGGTGAAAAGATAAACAACTCTTTTTTCCCGTTCGAAATTAGTACTGACTGATTCGATCACTTAAGCGAGTTAGTTATCTACAGGATAAAGTCGCTAATCCCATGCCAAACCCTCCTCGTTTATCCGGGCTTGAGACTGACAGTAGCCCCAGAGGGGATCCAGGCCAAGAAACCCATTACGCTTACAAATGGAGGTAGACATAAGAGGAAATGAACAGTTGGATAGAATTGAAAAAGTAGGCTTGCGAATGCTGGTCAGCAGCCTATGCTTCATTGGTGGTAACAGGCTAAGTAAGTAAGTAATGCTGTAGAGAACAATATTATTATTATTAGTAGTAGTATTAGTATTATGAAACAAAAAAAAACCAAACACCATCAAATTCATAAAACCAAAGTATTCAAAAATAGTCTTGTACTACTGATATCATGAAATAAGTAGATAACAAAATGAACAAGAACAAAATAAATAGAAATTACAATTAGATAACAAAAAAACAAAACACCTGAATATCATTTTGAATAAAGTTAAACAAATTGAGCGGGAAAAAGAAAGAGTTAAATGACAAAAAAGAGCAACAACAACAACTAAAACAACAAAATAATACAATTTATGACATGAAAATTGTTTACTAACCAACTAACTAACTAACGACATTATCATTGATAAAATAACAATTGAATGTAACCATTGATAGTGTGAAACAACATAATAGTAAAATCGATCTCATTCAATGTGCGTGTGTGAGTGAGTGTCAGTGAGTGAGTGAGTGAGTGAGTGAGTGAGTGAGTGAGTGAGTGAGTGAGTGAGTGAGTGAGTGAGTGAGTGAGTGAGTGAGTGAGTGAGTGAGTGAGTGAGTGAGGAAGGAAGGAAGGAAGAGAAAATAACTGACAATACAACATAATTACTTAACACCAAAAAAATGGAAACCATAAGAAAGGAGACCACATCAGTGTACCAGCCGCTAAACCTAATAAAGCTGCATCACCCACACCACCATAACCACATCCACAATAATATCCATGTCGACAATGACATGGAATTTCATTTCCATCACCAAGAATAATTGTACGTGATCCATCTGGATGTTCAATAACTTGTCGAGGCATTATATATTCCCCATCTGAACCACGATAGATAATCTATGAAATAATTCATTTTAAACAAACAAACAAAACAAAACACCCAATAATTATGATCAGAAATTTTCACTGCCTATAAAAAAAAATCAATTTCTTAATCACGAGATCCGATAACATAACCTTAATCCAAGAAAGAAACACACTGTTTATGGGTAATTGGAACAATTCTATTACGACGTACGTGTGATATCAGTCAAAATAATTCCTAAGAAGTCATTATAATATGGATTAATTTGTATTATAGATTATTACTTACTGTGTGTGTGTGTGTGCGTGCGTGTGTGTCATAACCATTGCAGAGTTCATACTTGACATGTGAAAATAAAACTTTATAAAACACTCACTAGAACATAACAATTTGTATTTATTTTTGAAACCATGTATCGATCAATGTTAGATCACCATTAGAAACGTGGAAGCAATGGAAGGCTGCTTCGTCTTGGTATAGGACTCTTCAACAGTGTTTCAAAGAAATATATTTTATATGTCCATCTCAAGAAATATTTCATTTCATGTCATTCAGGATCTCTAACCGTCCATTACTACTATCATCTCGCGGATATCAACCAGGTAGTCTACACCTACTTACATGGCTCAGTTGGCTTATTAGTGAGTGACCTGATGGATTTGTGCCATGTTTTTGGTCTGGCCACTTCTAACTTTCTTTCAACCTACTCCTCCTACACTACGAAATAAAGTTTATTGAGGCAGTCGGTGGTTTGGCATACGTAGTACATGAAGTTATGTACTAATCCCAGACTGAATATAATAATCAAAAGTACAAAGTGGACCATTTACTAAACATTATAAACTATCAGCAAGTATTGTTATTTCTTAGTCCGAATGACGAGAACAATGCAAAGACAACTACTACTCAAAATCCTAATTTGCTTTTCCTGTAAATACATGTTATCTTCATATACACATACAAACAGACAGATACAACGCAAAATTTCGTACATAAGTATAACAGTTCAGGTTGCCATACCGCATTAGCGCAGTGACGCAACTGTCAGTTCAAATGCAATAGTGGTAGCGATAGTAGAAGTATTAGGCATTAATGGACATTAGATTTCGAAGGTATGATTCGAGAAGTATAATTTAGTAAGATAGATTTAGAAAGAGGTAGGTAAAGATGATGAGGAATTCATAAGGTCAAAATTAGAGAGAACACAAAGAGTGGATGTACCTGCAACATTGCAAACGATTCTGGGCCATGTCATTCAAGGTCTCTAACCACTGGTGACATACGTCTCACGGACCCCAAACAGGTAGCCTACATCATCCAACATGATTCAGTCCACTTGTCAGTGATTTCATGGATTGCTGCCATGTTTTGGTTTGGCCACCCCTAGCTTTCTTCCAACCTACTCCTACAACAACACAAAACATAGCTCGTCGAGGCAGTCGGTGGTTAAGCATACGTAACACATGTCCCAAACACCTCAACTTATGAAGTCTCACTACTTCATCTACTGATTTGCCATTCTTACCTAGAACTCGTTTCCTAACGACAGCATTGCTTATACGATTGCCCCAAGATATACGGGCACTGCTTCGGAGACACCGATGATCGAAGAGTAGTAACGTACGAAAGTCCTCTACTCTTAACGGCCATGTTTCGAATCAGTATAGTAGGACGGAGCGAACTGCTGCACGGTACACTCGTCCTTTGGTTAGCAAGCGGATATCTCGGCTGTGCCATAGGTGACGCAAGTTGGCAAAAGCCAACCAAGCCTTCTCTATCCGTGCTGAGATTTCGTCAGTCACCAGGCCATCAGCACTGATGAGACTTCCCAGATACGTGAGGCGGTCTACATGTTTGAATACTTCACCCACTATTACTAGCTCAGGTACCGATGCGACCAAATCTTGAAGCAACATTTCGTATTTCGAGGGGGAAGACCACATCTCAGATATGCTTGCATCGTTGCTTAGAGTGGTCAGAAAACTATGTATTTGTCAGCGTCTTCACTGAATAGGACTATGTCATCGGAATATTCTAAGTCAGCAGGCGTGGCTCCCGGTAGAAAGTCGAATCCTGAAAAGTCAGACGAGGATATGGTTATATCTAGCAGCATGTCTATGGTAAAATTGAACAAGAATGGAGAAAGTGGACATCCCTAGCGGACACCACTTGAAATGAAGAATTCCGATGAGAGTTCGCCAAAAGATCTCACCCGACCAGTAGTTTTAGAGTAGAGAGCTTGTATAAGGTTAGTGTACTTCTTTGGTACACCTTTCAATGACAGACACTGCCACAGAACCTCACGATACACAGAGCGGTATGCCGCCTTAAGGTCCAGGAAGACAACTATTGTAGGACCTAAAAATCGATAGACAGATACTTAAATCATCAAGTTTTTATGTCATGAAAAGTTTTATAGATATTTATTGCTGTTTATTAAAAGTTAAACCTGCATCTAAAGAGCTACTAAGATTTTCATAAAATAGTACTGAAGAAACTCTTTAAGCTTGTAGCCAACGCCCATCTTTCAATGAAAAATTAGGTTAATGACGCAGCAATACTACTAGATACAATCAAAACAAACTATATGTATACACTTCTTATATTATTATTCATAAAAGACCTGTTACTTACTGGTACGTCTTGCGTTCTCCCAGAAGCTTGATATAAAGGAACTGTAGTTTCAGCAGGACATGCATATTGATAATAGTTCACACCATCTGTATATCCTGGAGGCGGAGCTCCTGGGGGCGGCATATGAACTCGATAACGAGGTACAGACATTCCTTTTACTTCAGATAAAGCAAGACGCCATACCACTGCATCATCAGGTGACTGAGCGCAGAAATACCAATCAGATTCATCTGTTTTGAGGCCAAAAACGCACTCGATAGAACGATCTTTTGGTGGATCAATATTTCTCTGGAAAAACACAAGAGAATAAAAATATTAAACTACAGTGATAGTTGAATTTCGAGTAACTAAACGGGGTAACATAATGAATAAAATTGAAATATGCACTAAGAATACCAGTGATTTTAATAAATGGTATTGCAGGTTATCAGTGTCTTGATAGAACTAATCAAAATGTCTAGTTGATCATTTCGATTATAAAAGGAATACGAGACCTCGTATTTTCCAGTATTCAAAGGAAAATATTGGGTTATTTTTTTAAAGGCAGTCAACAGAGGTCAGTGAAAAAAGGTTTAGTGTTGCTTAATGAGTACGCACTGCGCAAGATTAAGACAAACTACACTTTCTTAACGTTTACGACCCATCTAGATCACATCGCTAAAAACCGTTGGTGGGGAAGTTCTATTTATGACTACCGCTCATCCTGGAGCACTTGTTTAGGTTCAGACCATGATCTAGTTAGAGAGCATATTTGTCTGCGGCCTATTGGACGTAGGAAAAGTATCGCAAGGAAACCTGTTAGGGCTCTACTTAATGATAATAAAGCTAGGAATATATTTCAGGAACAACTAGAAAAACAGTTAGGCAGCCATGTAGTAAGTGATGCCCAACCTGAGGCAGTTTGGAATGATATCAAAAAGGCTGTGGAAACATCAGTGATATCTTCTAGTCAGGTAAACCATAAGGTTAGGGAGAAGCCGTGGATTTCAGTAGTATCTATAGAACTGATGGATGCTCGAAAGCTCATCCCACCTGGCTCTGAGAACGATGAGGAACGGAGTCAGCTCAGGCGCAGGTTGATAAAAAACGTTCGCAATGATCGAAAACAGTGGTGGGCAGAGAAAGCAAGGGAGATGGAAAAGGCGACGGCGATAGAAAACAGTATGCAACTATTCAGATTTATCAAGGAAACTGGTATTAGGTACCCGAATGTGAGTGAAACTATCTCCGATGATATCAAAGTTTGGAGAACAATACGTAATGAGGCTGATCATACTGATGTCTAAGGTGATCTAGACAAATTAGTTAGATGATTGCAAATTTAATTCGAGAAAAAGTGTGCTAGTAGTGTATACAGAACACAGCCATAGTTACCAGTATACTATCAACTGCATATCGCTTTAACACGTGCAGCAACAGAGAGTAATAGTGAGTTGTTGATTGAAACCAAATCCCAACTGCAACACTTCGGCTACGGAAGGTTCCCAGATGTTATAATAACTTTATTCAACGTTCAAATCCTTTGACGAAGATGTTTTGGATTTGATAATCCATCCATGTGATATCTCAGAGTATCTTATCTAAGCAATTAGTCCATGTTTTATTAATGATGAGACTTCATTTAGGTGTTCCACTAACACCATGAACTAATCAGTTAGACAAACTTAACAATTCCCACAACCCTACACTGACATTTAAGTTAGTTCAGCGTGTAAGAACTACGTTAAAGAAGGATTTTTTCCAAATTCTCTTATGACGAGCGATTAAGACTCTGAAACTTCTTCTCCATATTGTATAACGCAAAGTGGCCCTATATTAACATTTTGTGCCTTGAACGATGACTCTAGAGTCAACATGTCCAATCTTTTAGAGCCCTTCAGAACTAATCATCTATGAGACCATTGAAACAAAGTTTTTCATATAAAGGGGTTACTGAATGGAATACCTTACTAAAACAAGTGTTACTAGCCCGATCAGTGAATGATGTTAGGGAGAAGCTTGAACCCCACTGGAGAATAAGCTGTAACGACTAGAAAAAAGGAAACCGACTTACTATCCGATTATTTTCTACGCATAGTTCCACAACTATATACTACATATAAACCAAACAAATAAGTAGGAAATACTACTAACAATTAACTTAGCTTTTCTGCATAAAAAAAATTATTTGTTTTCCATTCAACTCGACTTTATAGATTTATGACAGGATCTTAGTTCATATGACTTACAGATATAAACAAACGAAATTGAGGACGTCTACGTGTGTTAGCATGGTAATCTTGTGCGAAACACTCACATTCCCATAAATGACCAGCACCAACTAATAAAACCAGGGAATATTGGAAATTTAAGTTTCTTCTAGTCACTGACTCTTACAGGTAAGGCTATATCCAATTTATAATGCTATTTACTGAATGTCAGCTTCAGAACATGGAGTGGTAAACATAAGCGTTTCAATAAACTGTCACTGTCGTTAACTTACGCGACCAGATATAATTTCTCTGCATACTCGTGGAACATTAATAGTTGCTTTTGCTATATAATCATCCTTACTATCGAAGTACCGTAGTTCACCATTGCCATAAAGAACTAGCCATGCCGGTTTCCAACGTTTTAGAAAAGTACCTTTAAAATTAAGCTGATTAATATTATAACCCAAGCGTACTGAGACGAAGAACAGAGTCGGCTTTGAGGATGTTTATAGATGATGCCATGATCAGCTGACTTCAAGTGGACGAAAAACACGACCTTCTGGTTGACCTTGTGGCGACACTGATATTAAATGCTCAATTAACTGAGAGCTAAGATATCAGGAAAAATACATTCCAAATACAGTGACCAATAGTGAATAACATAAAAAAGTTTAAGATGGTATAAGTTTTATTTTTTAGATTATTACAACCCTATGACTTACTGTTACCCAAATATTCAGTCTGGAATGTACTGGAAGCTGAATGGTCACTGTTAGTCCAGACAATATAAGTGTCTCAATTCATCCAACTTTGTATTTAAGACATCAGCGGACGGGAAGTTATTCACTTGTTGAAGTAACCAACTTTGTTCTGCTATGATTCGTTCAAGAAGTTATTCGTCAGCTGATATTTCATGGGTTCTGGGCTTCAGAAAATTTTGAGAGTATCCTCGTAGATTCTCAGCTTTGGGAGACAACAAAAATTAAGTCATACTAGACATAACTTTATTACCGTCTATTTTAACTAGTGTAAACAGGTCACCCATTGTCTTTCTGTATGACGACGGAAAATATTCAGTTTGACCTATCTCTCTTCACTCTGTGAAAATGTTATTCTGAGAATCAAGAAAGCTGCTGCTATTTGAACATTTTCCAACACCTGAGTGACCCATTTAGACAGGAAAGGGATGCTTATAGTCAATATTCAAGTTAAGGATGGACAAATACTGTATTCAAATTTGAAAAGATTTTTACATCGATATGGCTATAGGCTCTATGAAGTGATCATAAGATTTTACTACCGATAGCAGATGTCGAGCAGATGTCATTATAATTTCTGAGCGTCATTCTGAAGCTTCAAACTACCACTTTCATTTTTGTCTCTCTCCTTGTCTTGATATTTTCTGCACAAAGCAAAGATTGGTGACGACCGAAGATTAAGAATGTCATCCATATACAAGAAGAAGGACAAGGGTCCCAAAACCATACACCTAGGCACTCGGCTGAAGACAGTTAGGCTACCAGGAGTTAACACTTACTCTTTCTTGCCTCCCAGTTAAGAACCCTCTAATCCAAAAAATAAGTATCTTTCAGTGAGAATACCACTTAACACAAATAATAGCCTGTTGACTGGAGCTTTTTCTGAAGCCTTAACGATTTTGAATGAAAACTGTATCCATCATCATTGAAAGCACGCCAATTTTCATGTAGTTGGTGATAGGTTAACAGCCAGTTTTAAAGCAGTCCTGAATTTTAGAAAGAATCCATCTTTCATTCTGATACTTAAGTAAATCCTGCTGAATAATATTTTCCTAAAAATGTAACAACCATGATAGTCTGGCTTACATACCGTTAGTTCTCCGGTTTGTGTCACGTTCCTTCCTTTTAGATGAGACGTATTCGTCCACTCATTTAATCATATATTTTTTCTCAAATAACTACGTTACAAGAGTCACGCCAGTTTACAGGCTAGATCAAATTGTCACAAATGCTTTCACAATTACTGTAAATGTTATAGCAGTTAAATTAAGTATATGAGTCAGTTTCTGATAGCAAATTTATACCATGTCACTGACAGAAACAGTATAATACAGCCACATTTTCAATAGTAGAGTACAAATAAGGAAGGTGCACAATAGGTTCTTTTGGCGATTTGCCGAGATCAATCGTGAATTTGTTGGGAAAGGTCATATGGAACGTGCTTGATCCGAGCTGTGATCCAGACAGTCAGGTACATGGGTGCATGTTCCCTAGAGTCGCCAAGGATTTGCCACCGTGAATGGGGTTCTGAAAAGGAGAAAAGAGAGAGAGAAAAAGGCAGCTGTGTGGCAAGTGTATATATATAACCAAAGCACAACTTAACCTTTTATGCTGAAGTAGTCAAAACAGTAGTAAGTCAAGATAAAATTCATACTGACCACTTAAATGAAAGTAAATTATGGGAATATAAGAATATAACCCACAGATAAAGGAGTACAGCAAAAAAGAAGGAAGAGTTGTGGAGTGTCGAGTGGATAGAAGAGAAGTTGAAGTAAGAAGCTGGATTTATGTACGTTGAAATCGAAAGAGTAGAGTTTGTAAAAAGAAAACAGTGATGAATAAAATTTCGCACTGTCTAACTGTTTTCTTTTTTTTTAATTATTATTATTGAATGCCATCCTCTAAGTCATACTGTACGCGCCTGAGTAAGAATGTTGCGGGGGTCACGACAGAATAGCGACCTCAGCATAGTTTTTGAAACATGAACCACAGAAGTAGCAAGCATATAGGAGCAACCTCTGCGTTACTGATTAGTCGTCTCATCAATCAAAAGAGTCGAAAGCAAACAAAATGTTCTGCGCACAAACATGGGTGTTAATTTGCCTGTGACAGCTTTAAGTTGAGTGCTTTGTCGTAACCGTCTCCCGCTAGTTCCACTGTACCTCTGCATCCCATAAACTACTTAATCCTTTGGTTTATATACCAGCAAACTATCTTTTCCTCGCACAGTTTCATGGGCCTTCATGATTTCAAACTGAAAATATTTCTAGTGTCTCAGCATTGATGTATTGTCTCATTGGTGCTTTGTAATTTAGAACTCTACATTCTTTTTCGCTTACGACCGAGGATTCGAAACCTGGTTAATGATCCTCGGTTTGGAATTTCTCTGACTTCTTTTTGTTGTCCAAGGAAAGTGCTAAATATTTTACAAGACATTCATGGTTCTTGTGTCCAACCTATATTCAATAATGAATGAATACTTTACCTACCAATAGTTTTGTCTGGATTCAAATGAAATATCGTTGTTGACAACAGTAAGTAAATCAAGACTAGATCTGCATTGTCACTCTGTCCTAGCGGTGGTAGGTAATCGAGGTTCGGGACATCATTCTCCCAAAGGAATTATATGAGGTCTAGTAAACAACATTAGCAGTTCGGGCCATACCTAATTTCTCTTTTGACACATTGTGAAAGAGCACTTGCAATAATCACATCGGATAGAATTTTTTTATAGATTTTAATCAACTATAGATTTCAATTCTTTCACTCGACCGTATACGCACTAAAGTCCCCTTTAATTAAACGTCGACCACTTGCAAACCGAATATAGAATCTCTAGCAATACCCTACTCACCTGGAAGTTTGGAGTACGGCAAACAGAAACGACGAGCAGACTTTCGGTTTTATGTTTCAGGCGGTAACTAACTAACTTACACATTCTACGCCCATGAAATATGCTATTGATAACGTTTAAGGAGATACCATTTCTAATGAACAAAGTTATTCTTCCTTCTTTACACCTCAGTTTTGTTGATAGTGACTACTATGAAACTTCTGACCATGAGTCAGCTTAGTTTCCGCGGTGGTATTAAACATCAGGCCAGGTAGAATTTATCCGGACATTTGGCTCCCATCGCTATTGAGATGGTTTAATATGTGCACTAGATTTTCCATGAGGTACTTATTTATATATCTAATGAAATACATAGCTCATTCAAAAAAGGATACGTTCATATTTCATATACTAGGTGATAACCAATATTTTTATGGACGAGGCTGTTAAATAGGTTCTCAATGAGTAGATATCTGATGGAAAAATTTATTAAACACATACTGCATTAACCCACCCACGGGGAAAAAACTATTAGGTTGTTTACATTTATGAGAGCATAATACCATTGAAAAGTTTCGTATAAGGTGTACGCTACATATGTAAGACGAAGAAACGACAAGATATCAAGTATAGTCGACTGAAAGATAAATATCCTACGACATTGATTATATGACATTCGAGCATTTACGAATTTCGGCCAGAAATAGTCTACCACAGAACGAATGTAAAAAAGAAGGCTAAGCATTTGTCAAAATAATTCACAGGGTGCTTGATCAAGTGTGATTATGGTTCTTTAAGTACAGAATCGAAACTATACCGAAACAGATGTGATTATCACTGACTTTCTTAAGACGCACGCTAGAACAATCTTATCAGTCCTTCAGGTCCGGGAATTAATTTGATTGATTTTACTGAAGTATCTTCTCGCAATCAAAATTTTTCGATAAGGACTGTTTGGTTTTGTTCAAGACTCACTTTCTAGCTGAAAAAACAGGATTAGATTAAAATGCCGAAATTAACTGTCTATAGGCTTCACTTACTGAAAATAGTGTTGTGAAACTTGTAGCACCCATTAAAAATGTAGCGTCTATATCTTAACTAAAAATGAATATGCTGGTGTTTTTGATAAAATTTGGAACAGTTCTTTAGAGGATATATTCTCGCACATTGACTACATGTAAATTCACGTGACTGAATAACTTAAACATCTTACCCATCAAGATGCGAGTTTTGATAAATTATCTGCAAACGTCAACATGTGATGCACTGGGCATTATTCCTTGTAATTGTAATTTGTTGTTTTTGTTTGGTTGCACTGGTCACCAGTTCCTCCGGGCAGTATGAATGTTGCACTAGCTTTTGTCTGAGACGTGGATTCCTTACATTAACACCTAATTTAGTCGAATGTTGACATCACTGTCGATCATTAAATCATGCTTTCATAAACGAAAAATTAATGGCTATCTCCTGCGAACTCTATAGGCAATAGTAAGCACACTATTAACATATTACTTCTAGTTTTATTTGATATGGACCAACCACCTATACGAATATTGAGACGACCATGTCAAGTTCCATCTAACGTTCCTAATACGCCACAAAGGTTGGTGTTTTCATAAAGGTTCTCATATTTTTAGGCCACCCGTTGTAACAAAAACACTTGAACAAAGGGAAGCAGACTATGCCGCTGCTAGGAAGAGGATTATGGGGTCTGCTACTCCGGAGCCAGCTAAGGTAGAAACAAAAGAAGTTATAGAGTAAGTGTAGCTGTCATGTAGTGATAAGGTTTGACTCTATGTTTAATTACATGAATCTCGCACTTTTCCATCTCAGCAGTCGTTCTGAACCATGTTTTACGGTTTGTATACTGTTAGGCTGGTTTTCCGGTTTTCAGTTCATTATTGCAGATATTTTTGCCCATCTCCAAGTTTTAAGGTACTTGCACTTTCCCTGAAATTTTCTGTTAAGAATTCTTTAAGGGAAGAGAGTCTCCGAACCAAAATTAACAATCTTCTGGTCATTGATAATTGATAGACGAATGTATTATAATTGTCAAGAGTACATGGTAAATTCGGGGTAATCCACTGGATAATCTAGTTTAAGTAAAGTTAGCACGAGTCTAGAATCAAAGGATCTATTATAACCGCACTCTATCCTGAAGTGATTTCAACCGAAAGGATGCCAAGAGTATCTCGTCAGTCACTCTTTATTGAGGCAATGATATTTTCGCACTGGAGTAGTTCTACTACAAAGTCTTGTTCTCCAATGTAACGGATCAAGAGGCTTTTTTGTCTTAGCCACTAGAAATGAAGGTGCCTGGATCAGGTTTTGACAAGCAATGATCTATGCGTCCAATCCCAGAATTTTTGTTTAATGGTGGCTCTTTGGGTTGCAAGCGTAAGTAAAATATAATTCAGTGGCCGCTAACTCTCCGCTAAGCGCGTAAAAGCATTTTCAAGAGCCGATACGAATTTTTTCCAAATGCAGGAGGCTTGTTAATTTTCAATTGTCTTTCGCAAAGTAATTGCTACCATATGATTCCTGTCGTAACTGATTTCTACAGTATTTGTATCTCATAAATATTATGTAATTACTTTTTGATTTCGGTGGGTTTACACATTCACTGGTCCTTAAATTAAAATACTTAAATCAAAATACTATCGTGGACTCAGGAAGTTCCCTAACTCTTCTCAGTGATTGCTATCGGTCTACTTATTTGTCACATGGTACCATTTGTTTCTTATCTTTTGATGTAGGTCTAATTCACTGAGACTTACGGATGATACTAACAGTGCTATTACAAAACAAGATCCATATATTGCTTCCACTGCGTCGACGACTCAGAATGTGGAGGTTAGTGTTCAAAGTAACTCTTCAGAAACGACAGTCAACCATTCGTCCACTAACCATAACGGAGTTCAGCTTTCCATGCCCCAGAGCAACCTACAACCTCTGGATGTTGGTGTAAGTCGAAAGCCTCAACAACACTCACACTCTACATCAAATGGCGTTCGGCAGAATTTGCAACAGCGCAGTGCAACAGTGACTGCCAATAGATTGTCTTATGTTCCTCAACCTCTCCCTTTTTTTTCTTTGCAAACTGGATACAATAATGCTGGTCTTCTTCCTACTCCACCCGGCTTTCAGTGTTCATTACCAAATGAGACAAATGCTAGTCTGCAGCAAACAACTGCCCTCGCTTTAATGCACCAATTTAGTTTAATACAACAACAATATCGAAATACTTTGTCTGGCATTCAAAAGCAACTAGTTTCTTCTGGACCGCACTCATCCAACAGCTTTAATCCCCTGAATTTTTCATCGTTTTCCCAATCTAATATCAACCAGAAGTAAGTTTCATCGATGTTTAATCTTGTACTCTGAGACTTATTTTTCACATCTTTAAACTCTGTGATTGGTCTTAAGTTGTACTAATTATTAATCATTGCTGATAAACAAGTTTTCACAACAGAAATTTATCTTGTTGTCAAACTATTCAAGTTGCGACTCTGTAGTAATTGAGAATTAAGTATGTCTTTATCACTTGGATTAAAACTTATCCCTTATAACCTAATCTGCTTTACATATTTACGTGCTAATAAGTTGTGATTTCACTATACTTGTTTATCAACATTTTGTTTTCAGATATACCCATCCTTCATCTTTCAATTAATTTAAATTTGCAATAATCAAGTGTGGTTTCGTAACTATACAACTTCGTGTAGTAATTTTGACTACTCCTTGCTTTTTATTATTTTGTGGCCATCTTGTTCAACAAATATATTCATGTTTCTGTATAAATAAATTGCTTATAAAAAATTATAATGCTATGCTTTTTCTCATATATATTCTTCAATATGAAGTGCGTTTCCTGAACACAAACTTTAACTGTTCCTTACAGTGCAGTTAAGACGCCTACTTGCAGGTATGTTAAGTTTATACAATTATGTAGTTACTGTTATATCAATCAGTCAATCGATAGCAACGTAGAACTTCGTACGTACGTAGATCAGTTCATGTTGCCATACCATGTAATTGTCAATTCTAATCCAATAGCAGTAGAGGAAGTAGAAGTATTAGCAGTAGTCGGAGAGGTTAAGATTAGAAGATATCATTCAAGAAATATGATTCAGTGAGATAAGTTTAGAAAGACAAAACTAAAGGTGTTGAAGAATCCAGAAGATTAGGATTTTAGAGAACACACAGAATATATGCACCGGTGCCATTGCAAACGGGTCTCAAACCATCGATTACTAACATCTCGCGGACGCCAACCTGGTAATCGACACCTATCGACTTGGCTCAGTCCACTTACTTGTCAGTGACTTCATGGATTTCTGCCATCTTTTGGTCTGGCCACCCCTATCTCTCGACCAAGCTATTCCTATAACGCGAAACATCGCACGTCGAGGCAGTCGATGGTTAAGCATACGTATTTCATGTCCTAACCACCTCAGGTGATGAGGTTTCACTACTTCATCTAATGGTTCCCCATCCCTAACTGGTACTCGTTTCCTAACGAGAGCACTACTTACTCGGTTGTCCCAAGATACGAGCGATGCTCCGAAGACACTTATGATCGAAAACCGGTAGCCTACCAATATCTTCTACTCTCACTGGCCATGTTTCACAGCCATATAGCAGGACGGAGCGAACTACTGCACAGTACACTCGTCCTTTAGTCGGCAAACGGATATCTCGCCTTCGCCATAAGAGACGCAGCTTGGCAAAAGTGAATCGACATTTCTGTATCCCTGAGGAGATCTCGTCAGTCACCAGACCATCAGCACTGATGAATCTCTCAAGATAAGTGAACTGGTCTGCGCGTTTGACTACTTCACTCGCTATCACTAGTTCAGGCACCGATGCGACCCAATCTTGAAGCAACATTTTGCATTTTGAGGAGGAAAACCGCATCCCGAACATGCTTGCATTGTTGCTCAGGGTAGTCAGAAGACTGCAGTTTGTCAGAGTCTTCACCGAATAGAACTATGTCATAGGCATATTCTGAGTCAATAAGCGAGCCTCCTGGCACAAGGTCTACTGAAAATTCAGACGAGGATAAGGCTATATCTAGCAGCATGTCTATGATAAAATTAAACAAGGTTGGAGAGAGTGGACATCCCTGACGGATACCACTTGAAGTGAAGAATGCCATTGACAGTTCGCCATAAGCTCTCACTCGACCAGTCGTGTTCGAGTAGAGAGCTTTTATAAGGTTAATGTACTTCTCTGGTACGCCTTTCAATAACAGACACTGCCACAGAACCTCACGATCCACAGAGTCGAATGCCGCCCTAAGGTCTAGGAAGACAATTATTGTCGGACGCATAAATGTGTGTATGTTCTGGGACCTGTCGTAGTGTGAAGATGTGGTCTATACAGCCACGTCCATGTCTAAAACCAGACTGGTTTTCTCATTTCAGCTCTTCACGAGCTCTAGTTAGGCGTCTAAGAAAATGGAGGTTAACAATTTAGACACTATGTTAGTTAGACTTATTCCCCTGTGGTTGTCACTAAAAGAGAACTAGAAAAGCGGTTAGGCGGCTTCTCGACATCAGGATGGCTTTCGATTCCTAAGCCATGCAACTGCTTTAGTCAGTCTCTGTAGGTATGACATATGCTTTTCACCTTCTAAGTGCTTTGAACACTGACAGGATCCTGAACTTACACTCGCTATTGGCTGTGAGCGAGATGTTTGTGTATCTGGGTAGATTTCTGAGTGCTTATGCTGTCGTGAATGATGAGATTAACTCACGTTTAGTGAATTCCAGAACGGCTTTAATAATATGAGCAATCTTTAGGACCATGATGTTAGTTCAGCTCGAAATGGTCGAATGTAAGTTATCGTAGAGAGCAATTTCGCTCAATACTTGTGAAACCTGGTCTCTGGTGACTCAGTCGATGTCAGCATCTTGAAACACTAACGTTGCCGGCTTGTAAATGTACTATGAATGTGGTCCTAATGAATTTCTTATGGCGCATTATTCACCAAAACTGGAAGTGGTTGGAAAAAGCAAAGATGTGATATGAGTGTATGACATAATATCATGATATGAAAGAAAACTGTGGAAGTTTGGGGACTTTTGGTCCTTCACAACTCCATGGTTTGTGCAACTCAGTGGGTTTTCCAAACGTTCTCAGATATGACTCAGAAGAGAAGCTTATGACTGTTCTACTATAACTCTCTGATTTTTTTTTCATATGAACAAAAGGATTCTATCTGATTGTTTATTCGACTGAACTGTTTCTTTCACTATTGTTTCATTATAATCTTTGTTTTAATTTAGCCCTTTATAACCTCATTTTTATTATATTGCGCACATATATTTTGGTTCCTACTGGTACCGATATATATATATATCTATATTTATATATATATATATCTTAAACAAATAAATTAATTTAACTGTACAATATAAATTGACCTTATCAAATGAACTTAAAGATACTTACTTTAATTATTAAGTAAATAATTCGTATTTGTTCAGTATCTGTTTGAGAAATTTATTAATTGAGTTCGCCTAAATAATAACGTTATATTTGTAGTGACTTTATGTATGCACTACAATCCAGACCGTAGCTGCTACCTTGACGTAGTTGGTCGGGTTTGACTATCGTCATGACCCAACCGAGCTATATTGGCTGGAATATCTGTTCCTCAAGGTTCTACCATGCCAGGCAGGTCGATTGAAGAACGATAAGACTAAAAGAAGCTACTCAAGGACTGAGGGCGAAGTCGTACTGCTGACTCTGATGGAGGGGTATGACAGCAGTAAGGTGTTTCCATCGGACAACCAGCATCTGCAGTGATGCTGCCTTCTGACAAGGAAGAAAGGGTTAGAAAAGGTCGACCCTAAAAATGTCACACCTCACGGATTTCCGTCTCTGTCAGTAAGGGTGCTATCCAAAGGCTTTCAAGAGCGGAGCTAATACTCAAAAAATCCTTCATAAAAAGGTCGTGCGTGACCGGCCTGGAGCAGTTTTCCCTTGGGCTCTGCGGTCACGCTCCTAGGTCGTTAAGACCAACACTAATCTACCTTACTTTTCAGGTCCCTCAAGAAACAACCTTCCACGGTAGCCGGGAAGTGATAACCGCCCTCATACCCGTAACAGCACACGAGCATTTAATGTACGGACATTGTGTCAAATAGGGCAACAGGCTTCCTTATCTAGGACTTTAGAATCTCGTGCCACCGATGTATGCTGCGTCTCGAAAACGCGCCTACAGGATCCTAGTAAAATTATTAATCTGATTTCACCCTGTCAAAATAACGAAGCAGATTGTTTTACTCTTCGTGTATCCGGTAGCCCTGATGCTGCTTCCAGGGGTCTCGCTGGTGTAGGTATAGAATTGAGTCGTAGAGCTGAACAATCTCTTGTTGACTGGGTCCCAGTAGATAGTCGCTTGTGCGCTGTCCGACCAAACGGACCAGTCAGGACTCGTAAACATAGGGACACTCGCTGTTGCCTCTTCGTCGTATCTGCTTATGCCCCTACTGACTGTAGTTCAGTCGAGGTTAAAGGTGAGTTTTACAGAAAGCTTTCGGACCTGCTCCAAAAAGTTAGGCGCTGTGATATAGAATAATGACTGGTGACTTTAATTCTCAAGTAGGTAGACTAAATGAGCAGGAAAGACACTGGTGGATGTTATGGTGTCGCGGCTCAGAGAACAGACATTGGCGACCGTCTGTTGCAACTATGCTCAGATGACTGCCTATTCTCAGCAAACACTAACTTTAGGCATGAGGAAAAGCATATCTTGACCTGGTGACCTCAAAAGTCATCCTAACGCTGGACCCAACTAGATCACATTGCCATCAGAACCGATGGAGGGGTTTGATAGAGGGTTATCGCTCGTTCTGGGGCACATGTTTAGATTCAGGTCATGCTCTAGTGCGAACGCTTGTTTGTTTGAGGCTTACTGGACGTAGGGAAGACACTTTAAGGAAGCCTCTTAGGGTTTTACTTAATGATAATAAAGCTAAGAATATATTTCAGGAGCAACTAGAAAGAGAGTTAGGCAACCATGTAAGCGATTCCCATCCGGAAGCAGGTTGGAATGATATCAAAAAGGCTGTGGAAACAGCAGTGATATCTGCTAGTAAGGTGAACCATAAGGCTAAAATGAAGGCGTAGATCTCCGTAGCAATCGAGAACAGTGGTGGGTGGAGAAAGCAAGACAGATGGAAAAGGCAGCGGCGATAGGCAACAGTAGGCAACTATTTAGACTCATCAAGGAAACTGGTATTAAGAAACCCAAATGTGAGTGAGACTATTTCGGTAAATGATGGTTGTATCATTCATTCTCAATCCAGGAGATTGGATCGATAAGCAGAACACTTTAGGGATCAGTTCAACTGGCCTTCAGCCACACTTCGTTTAGTCACGATCTCCAGTCATCCTGAATGGCAAGTCGGCGTAGGCCCTCCGAATCTTTATGAAGTTGAAAAAGCTATAGGAAATGTAAATCGAGGGAGGGCAGCGGGTCGTAATAGATTGAACCCCTGAGATTTTTAAGAATGGTGGTCCAGATGTGAGAGCGCGGACTGGCAAAGCGAGGGCTGCATTTCTACAATTGAAAAATATCTGGAACTCCAAACAACTTTCAACCAAAACCAAAATCAGAATTTTCAATACAAAAAATGTCAAGATATTTCGATTGTATGGAGCGGAAACTTGGAGAACTACGAAAGCCATCATCCAGAAGATACAAGTATCTATGAGCAGTTGTCTACGCAAAATACTTCGGATTCGTTGGCTAGACACGATCAGCAACACCCTACTGTGGGAGAAAACAAACCAGATTCCAG